TGTGTGTATATGTGTGTGTGTGTGTTATGTGTGTGCGTATGTGTGTGTGTTATGTGTGTGTGTATATATATGTGTGTGTGTGTGTGTGTTATGTGTGTGAGTGTGTATGTGTGTGTGTGTGTGTGTGTGTGTGTGTGTGTGTGTGTGTGTGTGTGTGCGTTAGTGAGCGCGCGTAAACCCATTAAATGAAAGACCAGTTTTTTTAATGCCTCCAACAACATCTAGATTGGGCACCAAACAACACCGCTCCTATAAATGTGGCCATGACACCTAAAGTACATTGCACATTTTATGCCCATGAGACGAAAACGCTCAATCACCTTACTTGCGTCATTTATAAAGGCGTTCTCATTCCAGGGCAAACATCCTCTTTAGGTGGACATTGCAGCATTCCAGTGGGGAATCACTTTTCTCATGTCCCTGAATACTTGATGGCATAACACCTACAAATATTTTTTCTCTCTTCGCATAAGTACGATCCCAGAATGATAAAAGACAGCCTCTTCTCAAAGAACTGGGGTGTCTCGAATTCTTAAGTACCACTCATAAACGCGTTCTTTCGTTTTCTCAGGGGCTGAATGTATAATCCCATAAATCCATACACAATGTTTCTTCATGTCATATGATGAATATAACAGAATTCAATCATCATATGAAGGTGAGCAAACGAGATAAGGGAATAGGAAAGCCACGGATTCAGAACCAATTGCAAAAGGGTTAAGAACCTTTAATGATTCCTCGAGTTTATTTCTTATTTTCCAGTGTTGTTATGAGGCAGAGCCAAAGTCTGCTGAAGAAACCCAGCATTTTTGCTCAACTAAGCCTGGCAGGAAAAAACCCTATCACTTCTGTCACTGAATCTGGAGTAAATATCACCCCACACCCTCACTATATCAATCAAAATAACGACGACCACCACGACCACCACCACCACCACCACCACCAACAACAACAACAATAACAACAACAATATCATCATCAACAACAACAACAACAAAAAATAACAACAACAATAACAACAGCAGCAACAAAAATAACAACACCAACGACAACAACAACAACAGCAGCAGTGTTAACTATAACGTAGACCAGAAAGTTGAAAACAATACAATAACTACATAATATTATTAAAGTTTAAAGAGCATCAGCAAAAACAATTGCAATGACATTCACAAAAACAACTATGAAAACTGCAATTACACAATAACAACTGTTGTAGCAATAAAATAGTGCCACCTACCTGATAAAAGTAATCTTATATATAGTCATGTTTTCTCAGCTTCATTACCAAGAAGACCGGTAACAATTACCGCCATGGAGAAACGTCAGTCGAAAAAAAAACACCCCAACAAAACAACTGTACTCTCACTTGAACTTTTGTCAAACAATAAAATAAAAGTACAAAATATAAATGTATCCTGGGAAAGAAGTACGTCATAATTATAAAAAGAAGGACTTACGCTGGAGAAACTACCCCCCCCCCCCCCTTTTTTCCCCAGTAACGTAGACAGGCATGAAGTCATTTAAAAATAATTATAGAATATAGTATCGATATTTTTCTGCCTTCTAAATCTAGGTAAACAAAATGCAATTCGAATGTTCGAGAACAGTCAAACATCCCTTATAATATGATTTATTTTTGTGTGGAGAGGAATGAATCTAAAAGAGTAAACGTATCAGAATCATATTTATTCTATATATTTCGAGTTTGAAATAGATGCACGTGTCATGGGCTGATACAAAGAAAGAGTGAAGTTTCGATCTGTGTATGGGTGTGTGTATGTGTGTGTGTGTGTATGTGTGTGTGTGTGTGTGTGTGTGTGTGTATGTGTGTGTGTGTGTGTGTGTGTGTGTGTGTGTATGTGTGTGTGTTAAGACGCGTTAAATGAAATCCCTATTTGTCTTGAAAAGCCAGCAAAGAGGTACAAAAATTCAAAGAATTGTATTTACCTGGTGGATATATGGATGCCGCCATTGTGGTGTTCAAGTCCTCTTATAGTATGATACTTCTAAAAAAGTCAACACTCCCAGTCGTACTTTTACCAAACAGACAAATGTCCTAAATAAAAGTGCATCCGTGGAGATGGGACGAACTATTCTTGCTCTTAATCAATGTCTGCGAGTAGCTGTTAGCCGAAAGCTTTTTTTAGCTCCCGACTCAGGATCATTCCTTTGGAAATCACAATGAGCATTTGAACACCAAGAACACAATCAGTTTCTAAGACTTGAATGTATGCCGAACATGTTTACAGTTTCCTTCCTTTGTTGCCAGTTGTTCGTGAATATTTTCTTTGAGAGTCCAAGCGGCAATACTCGGAACTGAAAAGTCGGCGCTAGTATGTAAGCCTACATTGATTGGGAATCATAAATCCCCTAGCAAGAATGTGATTCTGATGGTGTCGGTCATTACTTCGCCATCATAAGCCGATTCCGCCGAGAGAAATGACTCCGAATACAGCACAGCGCACAAGGGCTGATGGCTTGCCAAAACAAGGGCAGTAACTGCACTTCTATGTGTCACCTCCCATGTTATATTGCGTCCATAGCCGGTTGTGTGTATGCTTTCTATTGCAAAGAGTGCGCCCAATAGGACAACGTTAGCTAGAATCTGTTAGTTATAATTTTTCTGGAGATGATCGTTACTATCCTCTTTGTAATACTACTATCGTTTCTTGGGCTATTTAAAAACTTAGTAGACTACACTAATACATAATTCGATTTTATTAAAAGCTTCGTCGTTAGAAAAAGAAGTGAAGATTTCACTGAATAATAATGCTGTTTTTTGTTGTTGCGAACTTGGATCTTTGATACAACAGATCATCTGTCTCTTGAATCAAGACAAAATCATATAACAAGTGTTCAATCGTATTGTCATCTATTTCTATCTCAAAAGAGTAAAAATATTCGGATTACTTCTATTGCAATTTTAAAAAAAATAGGTATTGATACAATTTGAAGAAAACGCCAGAATACGGAACTGTAAGCACAGCAACAATAGATCGCGACATTTAACCTTAAGCTGCAGAAACCACAACGTTTGATATTTGTGAATCATTTCAGAAAGCGTATTGGAAAACAGCTTGTTCGGAGGACCAGCGATTGTCGAACAAGTCGAACACCTCCAATTTCACACGCACGCGTTCACAAAGAAAAAGCGTCACGCGACTCCGCCAAACCACGTAGCGATGACAAAGCGGGGCGTGGACCCCTCCCCCATTGTTGAATAAACAAAAACAAAGCCGTGAGACTAGAACTCTCGGAGTTTCTTGTTTGCTCTAAATGCTAGGACCAATACCTCTTGTAGTCACACATTCAGTTTCCGAGATTGTGTGACATTTTGAGGGAAATCCCTAAGGTGACGTCATCAGCTTTGCCCTGTAAATGGCAACACGGTCCTCTTTCTAGCGGATGCTCGATGTCTCCGGTTGGTAAATCCGTCTAGTGAAAAGACAAGTTGCCTTGCAATGCGGTCCAGACTCTATGATTACGCAACGTGAACGCCTAAATGCAATTTAGTTAATGACCCAGGTCGAAGGGATCAGAGTGAAATTCCAAGACTTTTTTACAGACGTTTTATGGCAAAATAATGAAAAACAATTTCAAGAGAGAAAACAAACAATTCTCTAATTTGTCAACGCTCGAGAAAGTCTCCGTCATTCCTCCTCCTCTACCCCCCTTTCCACCCCCTCTCCCTTCCTCTCTCTTTTTCTCTCCTAATGTCTCTCTCACACACAACCTTTTCCAATTCCTCTCTTTTTAACCTCTCCCCATCCCTCTCTCTCTCTCTCTCTCTCTCTCTCTCTCTCTCTCTCTCTCTCTCTCTCTCTCTCTCTTTTATCTTTGCGTTTTCTTTTTTTATCAGAAAGACACTTACACAAACTGAGGTACTCAAACGCCCACGTAGACTCTGAAGAAAACGGCACCCCAACTTTATAGCTTAATGTTGACCTCATCAAGTGGTCTCAATCGGAACTTGTTATGTACAACATTATGTTGACGCCATACAAGGACTTAATACATGCTGTCTAATCCAAGTACTTGACAAGAACAAGACATACCCTATCGACCTCACTTTGTGAGTTAAAGAAGCTAAATGTCAATTTGGAAGTACGAGATACACTTCGTACCGCTTTCTAAGATTGAAGATAAAAAGCACAGACTTGTAACGTACTTTTAAACTAAAGCCACGCGTATTCCCCGTCACACTTTGTTTTGCCAATTTAAAACAGAAAAAAGTTCACAGTTGAAGCACCAAATCCAATGCGCACGTCCACAAGAACCCGAGAACGCGGTATCAAATCAGATCACAGGGAGGACTGACTTCGAAACATCGCCCCCAGCCGTCGCCATTCTCAACTTTCCGAATAATATCTTTTTCCCCTCGCCTTTTCGCCATCCGTGCACGCTCTTCAATCACTCCTTCGTCCAACTTAACAAACCTAAGAGAACTCACTGGAAAGCGCCAATTATTCCACTCGCTTAATCTATGCAGCAGCGCCGCGGAGGTCCATAGCAGCGGAAGCGATCAGGAGCGCTGTCAAAAGCACAAAAGGCTTGTCTGCGCCTGCCCAACATCATCCATTCTGTCTTCCCTTCATTGACCTCTGTGCAAGAGAATACACCATCAGGATCAGCAAGAATCTCTCCATCCCTCAAACGTAAACACCTCACAGCCATTCTCCCCCCTCCCCCCACACACAGCCAAATCTCAACCCCCGCACCGCTCAAGGCTTTTCTCCCTAACAAAGTGATTCTCGCCAAGAACCCATCCCATCCCCCACCCCCCACCCCCTCTGGCGTAAATGCCAACGCCCAGTCTTGAGTCTGGACTGCCCAACCTCCCTAAAATATCACATGAGCCACCAACCTTCAATGACCCATCTCTGTCCTCCTCCCAAAAATACCCCCATCACCCTTTCTCCCGCCCTCTAAATCCATCCCTCTCCACACTCTAAACAAATCACACAAATACTCTAGCACCGAGTCCCCCGTTCCCGTTAATACCACACCAAGCGTACCCTCCCCCCTCTACCCCTCGTTCTTTCCCTGATTTCATTTCACCCAGATTGTATAAATTAAATGCGCTCTACTCTATCTCGTATGTCTCCAAAAACTCCCGCCCCTCCCCGGTGCCACATAGATACGACGTTCACACATTTTGAAATGTATCATTTTCTTTTAAAACTCCACCCAACAGATTGCGGGGCGTGTGGTTAGCTCAGCTGGTATAATACCGGACATTGGCGTGCGTGGAGGTGGGGGGGGGGGAGTTAGGGGGGAGCGTGTTTGAACGTAGGTTGTTTGAGTTGTTTTCGAGGTTCCGGTGGATTCTTGGCGCGATCCAATCTGAGATGACGGTTGGAGGTCCGGCCAAAGAAAAGTATTGAAATGGTGGGCTTTATACCCATACCACACAAACGTACTAACGTTACTTTTGGCTAGTTTCCTTTTCCTTCGTCTTAAATCATCACCCACCGCCCGTTTGTGGTATTTTGAGACTTTGTCATCATATTTTAGGCAAAATCCAAAGAAACTGGATGGTAAACATTGCCAATCGGCGAGATGAGGCGGGTTTTTTAATTACCAAATTTATTTATTTATCTATTTATTTATTTTTTACATTTCTACTCTTCTGTTTTTACTGGTATTCAAATTTTCCTGAAATGCTGAGGTTCTGACTTTGAATCAATATCGAGTACCGAGAATATTTTTTTTTTTACTTTTTCGGCAATCTTTTTCCCAGGACGTGTCCTGAATGGGGAACATGTGCTCCTCCTTCGAAAAGATCCATTCTGTGTCAAGTGAAACGTTACACTTTGTAAAACAGAAACAGAACAAAGAGTTCTACCTCTTTTTTATAAAAAGAATTATACTCTTTCCCAGACTCAACTAACATTTCTCTTTTTCCACATGATGTATCGCCCATCCATTCTGTTCCCACCCCCTCCACCCCACCAAACTGACCAAGAGAGAGAGAGAGAGAGAGAGAGAGAGAGAGAGAGAGAGAGAGAGAGAGAGGGAGAGGGAGAGAGGGAGAGAGAGAAAGAGAGAAAGAGAGAGAAAGTGAGAGAGAGAAAGAGAGAGAGAGATAGACAGATATATAGATTGATAGAGAGAGAGAAAGAGAGAGATACAGGGAGATAGAGAGAAAGAGAGAAAGAGAGATAGAGAGAGAGAGAGAGAGAGAGAGAGAGAGAGAGAGAGAGAGAGAGAGAGAGAGAGAGAGAGAGAGAGAGAAACAATTGAAATAGTAAAGCACACTAAACCCTAAATTTCAACTCTCATCGCATTTCGTCCAGACTCTCATTCTGTAATCAACGGATCATACAAGTACATTCTATGCTAATTTCTCTTCCTATATTTCTTCTTCCTGTTCCAGGGCGTTTTGTTTCGATTGACAACATTCCTGTAAACTTTTTCCTCTACTTCTGTACCCATGTTCTCTGTCAGTTCTTTCAACCTGCGAGCACTGCGTATCTGTTAAGAGCTTCGCTGCTGTCAGACACAGGTGAGCCAAGTTCGACTCCTGAGTGGAGATAAATATATATATGTGAGGCAGCGTGATGGAATCAGGCTCTCGTCAACTTTTGGGCATGTACAGTTATTGGTATCATCTTAAAGCTTGTTCACTTGCCTTTTTGGGATGAAAACAATATCAATTTATCTTAAATACAAGTCGAGATATTTGCAAATGAAGGAGGTTGGGGTCACCTGTTTTCAGAGGTAAAATTAGTTTAAAAAATGGCCGCCAAACATTAGTTATTTCCTTAGCGTTAGAGTCCGTGGTAACTAAAAATTTACATTTTTTGTGCCTTTCATCAACGTTTTTCAGGAAAATCCACACAGAAGTGAGTTCTTTAAAGGGCATGAAAGGTGTTGAGCGTAAAAAAAAAGGTATTTAGGTCTTGATTGGTATCCCACCCTCTAAGCCAGAGTTGATCCCAACAGACGAGGTCAGAAGGCGTTTCCTAAACGATAGAACTTGTGTCGATAGGGGCGGAACAACATGTGTGAGGCAGCGTGGTGGAATCAGGCTCTCGTCAAAATAATCAAAGTGAAGAAACTTGCATTTTTCCGCAGGTTTGTGACTTTGTGACTTTATCAAATTTTTGTTTTTTGGCTCAACACCTTTAATGCCCAAAAAAGAACTCATTTCTGTGTGGATTTTTCTGAAAAACGTTGATTAAAGGCACAAAAAATGTTAATTTTCAGTTACCACGGACTCTTAAGCTAAGGAAATAACTAATCTTTGGCTGGCCATTTTCTCACTAATTTTGCCTCTGAAAACAGGTGACACCCTCCTCCTTCTTTCGCAATATCTCGACTTGTATTCAAAATAAATGGATATTTATTTTCATCCAAATAAAGAAAAGTGAACAAGCTTTAAGATGATACCAATAACTCTACGTGCCCCAAATTTGACGAGAGCATGATTCCACCACGATGCCTCACATTTAGAAATAAAATTTTAAAAAAATATTATGGCCTTGTAAGCAACAATCACAACTGTTTATGTTCGTTGGTGGTCAGTCTTGTATGCGTGATCAGAATTTACATGGTTACTAAAATATAACAAAATAAAAAAAACACCTCCAACACCACCACCACCAACAACAACATCAGCAACAACAAAAAACCCAACGTTTAGGTCAACGTGTGAAGCATCATTACGTGGGTGGCTCTAAGTAGGTTTACTTTCCAGGAAAAGCAGGATTTACTTTCCAGGAAAAGCAGGGTTTACTTTCTAGGAAGAGCAAGGTTTACTTTCCAGGAAAAGCAGGGTTTACTTTCCAGGAAAAGCAGGGTGTACTTTTCAGGAAAAGCAGGGTTTACTTTCCAGGAAAAGCAGGGTTTACTTTCCAGGAAAGCAGGGTTTACTTTCCAGGAAAAGGAGGCTGTCTTCTGGGGTGTAACGGTTCAGCGCTTCGTTATCGCACGCAGGAGACCCGAGTTCGATTCCTCAGTGAGGAGAATTTTTTTAATCAATCATCTAGTTCTTTCTGCTGGAAATATTTCATCCCTTTCAGCCCGAGTTGGCCCTAACAGGCAGGGTCAGATGCTCGCCCTCAACAAGGATTTAAAGTGTGACAATGAGGGTGTAAACACACATTCATTAAAAAATGGGAAAGATATTGTAGAGAAAGGAGAACAGTTGAGAAGAATGGACAGGCCGAGTGAAAACACGTCTTTTAATCTTTTGTAGACTGACTTTCCTTTCAGACGCTAAAAAAACATTATAATATATAGGTTGTTGTGATTCACACAAAATAATGGCTGGCTCTCATAAAAAAAACCCCAACAAAACAAACTAAAAATCAGAATAAAACCATGATTCACCCATAATTTTTACATTTTAAAAAGAATTATATCCGAAATATTTCTTCATCTCCAGAAAATGGCCAAATCTGCGTCTTCGATCTTCATTTCAAGAAGACCATTTTGTATATAAAAAAAGGCCAAGTTCATAAATCGTTTTCGCTCTTTTAGCGAAGCCAATTCTTAAATACTTGCCAAAAATTTTTAATGTCCGATATGGAGTCCGAATAATCATTAAAGAAAAACCGCTGCTCGTAATCTATCATTTCCGTTTCTCTGCTTTTGGAATATTGCCTTGCAGCTTTGTCTTTATGAAATTACCCAAAGCCTGAAACATTTTTCGGAATAAGATTTGCGGGTGGTTGGCGGGTGCTCTGGTGTGGTTTGCTCTTGCTCCTTCTTTCCTGTCATGTCTATCGTCTTTATCTCTCCTCCTTTTAGTGCATGCTACTCTCCGGTAACCTCTAAACCTCTAAGTTTCGGCACTTATATGACATAATGCGCAGCAAGTCCCGTGAAACTATTACTAAGAGGTAGTAGATTTCATAGCATAATATTGTACTAATTTTTCCTTCTTTTTCAAGGTGTTCAAAGTTTACTTTGTGGAAAGAAATAGTTGTCAAAGTCAGAAACATCAATATAAAGATGTAAAGAATCAATAGTTCCTGTTCTACTGGAAAGTGCATTAAATCCAACATTGTATGCACACACACACACTCTCTCACACACACACACACACACACACACACACACACACATACACACACGCTTATCTATCTATCTATCTATCTATCTATCTATCTATCTATCTATCTATCTATCTATATATATAAGTAACAGTTAATTTTCCCGAGAAGTTTTGAAGAGCAAACTCCCAATGACAATCATTAACAAAAGGAGACGTAAAGAAGGGTGAAGCCTAACCCACACGAAAGCGTGCATCTTTGACCGATATACCGTATGTCCCCCCAAAAAACAACCCCAAACAAACCCGACTTTAATAACTCATTGATTAGAAAAAGGTCAGCCAAGTCAGAGGATCCCTAAATTCTAAAGAATGAGATGTGCTCAGATCATCACACCGATGTCTTGTATGCATTTTGCATTGATTCTAACAATCGTTAATATTCTGTTTGTAAAGATACGTTTTCTTTTCCTTCTTACGATAACAACAAATACGACATGATATACAACTTTCATCCCCGATTTAAAAACATAGACTCTGAACACTTTATTAAAAGCAGCGAAATATACACAGTTCTAGTGCCCTACTGACACTCATAACAAATCCACAAGCAAAAAAATCCAAACTTAACAATTTTACGAAACAATGAGGGTTAAAATAATTCAGGAAAAGAAATAACACTGTAAAAACACTCTACCAGAAAACAGCAATATTTTTGGATTTCTTCATGCCCCTGACACATTCCTACTAGAGCATTCATACTACTTTTCCTACTCTGGTATTCCACCCGCACCGCCCAAGTCAATGTCTGGAACCTTGCTCCAATGCGTCTGGGATTTGTTGTGCCAAGCCGTTTCTTTTGCTTTGTTTCCC